GTAGTTATTGATTTTTTTGCTGAAAATGATTACTCGTATCCAAGTAAATTTGGGATATTTCTCGTGTTGTAGCCACGCCCACCTATTGTGAAACGGTCGACTGTTTCCGGATTTCCGACTCTCGCCAAAAGTGCACCACCAAATGACAAAATGTGAGAGGAAGTCATACCCCTGAGCCGTAATAACACTGGTCGTTCAGTATACTTTCAAACGATATATATTTTTCGGTCGGCGTTTTTTCTTTTTTTTTTGTCTATTTTTTTTTTTTTTTGAGAGAGAGAGTTTTTAGATGTTGTGTTGTGGGCAGTTGCAGTGAAACGTATAGCCATAGTGTATTCACATGCTTCTAAGGTGCGACATCACTTAACCTTAGATTCATTCAACTGTCCTCGTCCATAAAAAAAAACGACTAGGCTTAAAGAGAAACGCCGACAATGTAAACCTGGCGCAACACTTTTGAAAGAAATAGATTACGGACCAGCCCATGATCACGGAGGCGGATTTCAGAAGAGAGAGAGAGAGACGTCTGGCAAGTGTTTCAAATCAGTTGACTTTTTTTGCGATCCTGATTATCGTTTTATAGAGACCATTTAGTCCCTGTTAAGTAAAAGGTAGCAATAATTTTGACAGTGACACAAAAACGAAGCGTCGGACAAACAGGAAATTACACAGCCCTTACACACTGCTAACTGTTTTCATTTTCGAAGGCTAAAAGTTTCTGAATTGTTTGGTGATTGGTGTTGAATGTCGAATTCACACCTCTGTTCTTTTTTACCTCCATGCTTGCAGCTTGATCTGCGTAATAATTTATGAAATAAGAATCTGGGCTTGGTCAATGTGTTTCCACCATAGACCCTCTAACAGAGGGTCTATGGTTAATGGTTTCCACCAAATAAAGTTTTAATACGATGTTATAATTATGACAATCACGCCATGGATCAAGCTAACTCGAATCCACTCTGAATTTATCTGTATGTGTGCCAATTAAGCGCCGCTTTTAACGCACTTGCCCTCGCCGTGACCCGACGCGTTCACCTATTTCAACAAAATGTCAATTTATTTCCACGAGGCTGTCATTTATTTAGTAACTGTGATTTGTCGTTTTTTTTAATTATTTTATAGTGATCACTATAGTCTAATGTTTAGAATGTCAAAATATGTTCTCTTTTATTTTAATTTTGAAAGTTTTACTCAGACGATCGATGAAATAAAACAGTGTAGTGACGTGCCTAGTAACCTGCTAAATAACGAGATAATTCTGACGTCAAATTCTATTTTGTCCAGCAACAGTGTACAAATGTGCGCCGGTGTCGGTGACGATCACAGTGACCAGCTACACCAGAACGGACATATTTCGCATCTAACTCAACCCCATGCAACAGAAATTGATACTATGTGTTCATTATGGTCCATTCTTCCTCTACGAACAAGTACATAAGTGACAATATAGTCAAAGACGAGGAAACTGCACAAGAAATTTGCCTTATTTACACGTATTGGCAATGCAAGCTGCCATGCGACTTCCCCTTCTGACGTCACAAGGGGAATTTCTGTATGCAAATGAGAAGCTAATGAGGAGCCTCGTTTTAAAATACACAAAAATAAAGTTGCCGTAGACTAAGTTTAAAACACATTTTTTCACTTAAAAAAAATAATTCATGCTTAGAAACATAAAAATTAATAATATTTATGTATCAATTGATAATTTTAGGCGTGAAAATAGCAGCCATTTCACAGGCACTTTAAATTTGTCCATAAAGGCACACAACTGTTTATTGGCGAATGATTCGAATAGTTTGCTGAAGACAGGTAAAACGGAGATCGGCCTGTAGTTTCCAACTTCATAAGCACACCCTTTCTTGAAAATAGGAGTCACCCGTGCCTTTTTCAGTTTGTCAGGGAATACACCTTTCGACAAGGAACAATTTATAATATAGGCGATTGGTTCGGCAATATATTCAGCAACCACTTTCACAAGTTTTGGGTGAATACCGTCATAACCAACGGATTTACGAATGTCAAATTTGTCAATTTCATTTAAGACATCGTCACGTGTGCACAGACAGGGCGAAAGAAAAATGACTGATTGTCTGTTGCCAAGGTAGTCATTAAAATTGGTGTTACAGGTAATCTCCGAAGCAAGCTTTGGGCCAATGTTAACAAAATAAGAATTGAACAAATGTGCAATATCCTTACTGTTTGTAACAAATTTATCTTTTTGGCAGCTTTCAACAGTTTACAGAGAATATTACGGTACTTTTTATACTGATTATGTACTGTTGAGCTGACTGAATGTCGTTTTGTTTTAGAAAATAGTTTGTGTTTATTTTTAATAGAGACAAGCAGTCCCTTAGTAATCCAGGGCTTTTGAGTGATTTGGGCGAAAAACGAGTTTTAATCCTTGGGACATGTTTAGCGACAATGTTGTTAAACAGTTTGTAAAAGGCGTTGTAGGCCAAATTAAGATCTGATATTTCATAAATTGGCATCCATGACGTTTTTGCAACATCCGCTTTGAATGATTCAGGATTAAACAAAGAAAAGTGATGTTTGTAACTATTTGTTATATTTGTGTTAACTATATGACGTAAATTTTTAAAAACAGCAAAAATTGGAAAATGATCACTAAGATTCGCCTCTAGGGTACCAGCTTCAATAAAATAATCAAAAGAATTCATAAGACAGTGATTTATTGTTGTAGATGTTGATTCGGTTACTCTAGTTGGAGAGTGTATAATTTGTTGAAAATTATTGGCATTAAGAACTGTGTCATAGGCAGCATGCGCATTATTGCTGCTAGCAACATTAATGTTGACATCGCCAAGAAAAATACATTTTTTATTGGCACAAAAAGTTTCAAGACAATGCTCAAAACTATCAAGGAAATCTTGCACATCTATTACATGTATAACTTGTTTGTTGTCCAATGTAGTTTCAATAAATAAACACTCACAATGACTTAGAATAACTGAGTCAATAACAGTATAAAGCAATGATTCGTGTATATAGAGACCAACACCACCTCCTGAAGTAGATGTGCGGCAATTTGAAATAAAATTGTAAGATGGCAGATTATAAATTGAGGTGTCAGAATTACTGTGCAACCACGTCTCACTGAGACCAATGACTGAAAATTTCATTTTCAGAAGGTGTAAAAGAGTTGAAAGGTCGTCAAAATGTGCACTAATGGATCTAACATTCAAATGTAAGGCAGAAAAGGAATTTACTGACAATGTTGTTAAATTGCTCGATTGAATAAGATTCACAGTTGTAATTACTGGATAGCAATGAGTCTGTTATGTCAGGAACCATGAATAATTCAGCTTTTCACGCTGCAAACAGTCACATTAACATATTTTGCAAAGACTGTCTTCGTTTGGAAGGTGCGCATGCTCTGGTCTCTGTTTCAAAATATCCGCATAGATGGATTTGTCTTTTTGCTCTGGTGTTTTGATTTTCACAGGATTTAACCCGTTTTAGTTTGAATAAAAGTAATATAAGTCGATCGATAGTTTTCACAGATATCATGCTTGAGTTGTGTGAAGCGGATCGAAATATAATTTGGAAAATTGTTATTTTTGGGAAATTTTGTTGTCAACGCTTTCCTACCTTGTGTTATTATATGAGTGGTAGGCGAATGTACCGACGACTGACTAACTATGCCGATCCCACTTTAGGTCATTTTTATTATCTACGAAACGTTCCAAGCGCCTGTGGTTTAGACAGGTAAAAAAAAATTCATTGCACAGACCATGGAGGTAAAAAGAGAAAGTTTCTACAAACCTATCCAACTGAATATTACCAATAAATTACAAAATAATCATAAATTATCAAAAAAAAAATGTCTTTGGTTAGGGACTGCCATCTTTCATTTCAATAAAGTTTTACCCAGGCACTTTCTATTTTCTGGCGACATGTATAACGCTGGGTATAGGTGATACACTAGCTTAATACGCTAACAGAATTTGTCTATTAATCGCCCGTCCCCCTTCCGCCGTCAACTCCCATGTTCGTATGACATTTTCAGTTTATTTTTTCACATATTTAAAGGTGCGAATTGATTTGTTTGTGCATCATTGTATATATAAACGTCGGTCCCAATATTCCATCGTCAAAATCAGGAGTCAGGGCTGATGTTCAATCTGGTTCAACCATACATGTTCAAGAATTATGGTTTAAATGTCGGCGTTAACATTACCCCCAAATAAATTGTGACAATTGAAAGATATATAAATATAAAATGTACTTGGTACCTGACTTCGGAGGATATCGATAAGCAGAATTTGCCGCAATATCCAGTTCCTCCACACCAGCGGTGTGGGTACTTGAAAAATTCCCCATCTTGTTGACAAGAAATTGATTTCTATTGGTGATTTTGTGGTGGAAATGGACAGTACTGAAAGATTGAAAATACAGATAAAATCAAGAAACGCAGATAGTCTTTTCCGCAAATCCAAGATGGCGAAGTCTGACGTCAGATTTACCCAAGGTGCAAAGTTCTATTTACAAACAAATGCTTAGCACAGCCACCACAACATTTTATAATTCCCTACCCGTAGCACACTGCCAGCGTGTGGCAATATGCGTTTTACTGGTAAATACGGCATAATAAACATTCTAATTTTGTAAACTAAAAAAACAAAAAAAAACAATTATGTATTTTGGATTCATGGCCACGATCAGTCCAATGTTTACAAACAACAAGTTAGGCAAAATGACGTCATATCTTTCGAGTGATCTTGATGTGGGAGGGGCGCAACAGGAAATGCCATTTGTTGTCGTTTTTCCAACCGTTTGTTTTGGTATTATTGGCTTACTTGGATCAAACTACGTACCACAGCCGAATCTCATAATAATTAAACTATCAGTCGAATTGGTGTCTTGCTCTAGTATTATTACTAATGAGTAAATTGGTCGAAAAAACGTAAAAAACAAGAGATGTTATCGCCTTTTATTGGAATAGCGACACGTCATGTTCGTCAACACACTCTTTAATTACCATAAATTAACATAATTATTCCGCCCTGAGTTTGAAATTCAGCCAATCACAGGCCAGTTTTTTTCAAAGTGTGACGTCATCTGTCACTCAAATTTGTCTGGTTGATGAAGTCAACAAGAGCCGCGTGATCTCTCGTTCGCGAGTAGTGTAACTCAATTTGCGTGAGCGTTTTTGCTATTTTAACCCAAAATGGATGGTCTTAGAGAGCAAGTTATGATTAACCAGTTTGTTTTAGCTGCTGGCTGTGCCGCTGATACTGCAAGACAGTTATTACAGAAGGCGCATTGGCAGTTTGAGGTAGGAATTCCAGCGGAACACTATCAAATTTGCAAATGGCTGGCCTAATGTATTTGTTTTGTTGCATCATGACATATACACAGACTGCTTTTGCCGTTGTTTTGGTCCTCTCTGTTAGCCTGAAATTAACGCCTGACTATTCCATTCCTTCTTTTTCAGACGGCGTTAAGTATATTCTTTCAGGGAGACGCTCTTCCTGGCTATCACCATAATCCACACCACCAAAATGGCCACGCGGTAAGTTCGCAAAATGTTCACTATTTTGTGTTGTTCTTGAATCTAGATCTTGGCTCATTAATATTCATCGTAATGTCTCTATTTATGTCTAACCTCTGCGACATTATGTTTTATTTGCAGCTTTGTACACCTGCAAATACACCAGCAACACCGCCAAACTTTCCAGATGCCCTGACGGCCTTTTCAAAGATGTCAACATCAGAAAAAGTGCTCGGCAGTTCGCCAAAAATGTCGTCGTCACCCGTCGAAGTAGAAGCGCAAAGATAAACAAATATGGCGTCCAGTAAGGACTCGTTACTAGAGCTGTTACAAAACGCATTTTAAATGCATTGAACATTGCAAAATAATAAATATTGGATACGGACCATTGAATAATGCGTTATAGTGACTTGGCTCGGATATGTATTGGTTTTGGATTGTTCCAGAAGTAGGATGCAATAATTGCTGGAAGAAGATATTATGTGTGTTGCTGTCTTAGTCTGGTTTACATGTAAATGACTGTGTTCGAGAACTGGACGTCGTCTGGCGATTTCTGTGAAAGAAAAATAGGACATTGAACATTTTACTTGTTGTGTTAAATGTAGGAGTCAAAGTTTGCCTTCGATTTGTTTCATACGTTATACAATATATTAATTATCGAGTAAATCATGAAGTCATTTACACGTAGCACACAAGTTACAAAATGAGAGAAGCAGTCTTCATATATTTGCATTCTCAGGTTCTCCATTGTACTTGTGTGTGTATGACAGGGCGAGTTTGTTTGAAAGTAACTATATTAGGGTGATGTAAGTTGCAAAATGACTGATTTAGAATAATCAGTGTACATTTAGTCAAGCATCAAATCAACATTTCTGTTTTTCACCAATCTAGTATGTGAGCATAAAACACGTATGTAGGTGTTTCACATTTTGTACAGTGCAGTTTATTAGAGAGTGAATTTTGTTGACAATTACTGACTTTAACACATCCTTAAAGTGCTATTTTTTTCATCGTATCATATAGGTGTCTAATATGTAAAAAAGACTTAAGAGTTATATTTTATGTTCTGTAACTACACTGCTGACAGTAGAAATTAAAAAACATATATTCTGCACACATACATTTTTTTAATAACTTGTGTGCATATTAAATATATCGCCCATGATTTATGCATGGAAATTGTAATGTACATATATTCAGAGTGTAGTAGGCAGGCTTAGTGTACATTTTGTTTTTGTTTTATATTGCAATTTGAAGAGTCATTATGGCAAGGGCATATAGTTTCAGGTTTGAAGTATAATAACAAAGTGTTAAAAAAATAACATTTGGGTAGTTCATTTTGTATTCATTTGTTTTTGTTTTGTTTTTCAATCCAGGTCATCCTTGCTACTTCACAAATTGATGTGAAAAATAAAAAAAACAAGTAGATAATGTCTTTGTGTGTTGCTGTATTTGCAAAATACTGTAATTGTAACTGGTTTACAACTTCATTAGGTCTGGGAGAATCACAGCAGTGAAAATTATTTGTGAATTTTTTTTGAAATTTTTTTTGCGTGAATGCCCTAAAATTATCATCTTGACAATTATTTATATATCTGGTTAGCGTTAACTCAGTTTAGCTGTTAGGGCATAGACCCTCTATGGTTAGGGGTAGTATCTTGTTATAGAAATTCGGGGATAGAGTGCAATAGTTGTATGCTTACTTGAAGCAATATTTTTTGTGTAAATATCTGCAAAGATGACTATAAATTGACTCGCCTATTACCCACTATAGCTGTTATTCTGCATACTAGATTTTCTGTTATAAATAACCACTATTTGGAAATCCTATAAGGCAGTTAAAAAAAGTTTGTTGAATGTTAATGCCCGTTTTACTATTTATTTAGCCTTATGAAGTAAATTTCACAGCAACTGCCTTGGGGGTAAAATATTAATGTTTTAATGTTAAAAAATATCGTCAGCATATTCGTTAGAAGAACACCTTGTGTAATGACCTCATTCCTGAAAAAAATGTTTTTTTCCCCATTTATCTCCTGATAGTAAATGATAAAGACTAACTCAAAATGTTTGTGTTATTTGAGGGTCAAAGTTCACTTGAATAAAGATCGTCTTGCATATTGTAGGTGAATCCAAGGTCAAACTAGATATCTAGAGCAACAGCTTGACTCATTTGGTTGATTAAACAAATTACTCCCAAATAGAGCCCATATGCTGTCATAATTCAGACTGTCTCAATACAGTACGGTACTTCCACAATTGAAAACTCTGCCCTGGATGAAAGATATGATGGATTTTGAAAGAAAAAAAAAAAATAACCAGTTTAAGAATAAAAAATTACCATAATAAAGATGACAGGATTTAGCCAAGGTGTGATGTGACAACTATGTAAAAAATAGAAAGTATACGTTTCCATACATTTGATGTGTGTATACATGTGTAAATTATTCACTGAATGGTTTCTGCTGCCTTGACCTGACCCTGTTCATTGTGAGGCAGTGTGTGAATTGTAGGCAAACGGTTGAATCTTAAAGTATTACTAGTAATTGTGGTGTTTAGTATTCCGGTCAACCCAGTGATTTACTGTCTGGCTTTTGCATTTTCCTAATCAATTAAAAGGAGGAACACAAGGATATGCTGTACTGAAATACGTTTATACTTGCAAAATGATTTTCATAAAATTAATCACTGCTTCCTTAAAAATGTTATTGTGGAGGCCATGTTTGCTGTATGTTGAAACTGGTCACTGCCGATTATATGCAGGTTTTGGGGTTAATGACATGTTTTGTTAATTCCTTCATGGAGTCCATGCACAGCTACTTGCAAGATTGTGTCTTATTGGCAAGCAAACCCTAGCACCAAACAGTCAGACAAATCAGCTTGTTTATAGACTGGTTATTTCCATGTATCAAATTATGACTTGTATATATGACTCTCCTGTAATTCTAACCTTTTATCTGACACAAGTTTGGTGTTTCAAGGTCACGCCAGTATCTCCTGATATAATAGATACAGTAGCACAAATATTTTATTATTTATATTAGGTCAGTTCAATGTGACCTGTCACATTTTTTCTGACGACATTTGTGACATTTATTTAGTTATTACATGTAAGACAGCTTCATATTCATCGATGAAAGGCTTGTGATAGACATTCAGTCACTAAACATAGGATATACAATAGTCTTACTGCTATAAATGGCATGTGAATAGCATGTGAATAGCACACTATGAATAGTTGTATACATTTCATATTTTGATTTGAACTGGTGTATAAACTATTGATAATTTCTGTTTGTGGTAACATTTATAAACCTAGTGGTGTGACAAAGTGATTTATTTTATTTCGGGTTTCTGTAAGCCTTTGTGCAGGCTATCATAATATGCATGTTAATGTAAAAACAGGTGGACCATTCTCAATCTTCCGGTAGACTTGAAATATTCAAGGAACAAAAAGTGTCCAACTTGTTTTCTTAAAAGTACAATCTAGCCACAAAGTGTGTTACCGGTATCAAAAAAATGAAAGCAAAATATAACAGTACAAGAAATCCATGTTTCCCCACAATTCTACCATACACCCATGTGGATTTCAAACAGGAAGACTATTT